GTTCACACAAAAAGATCGGATTTTTTCAAAAAATCGGAACTGAGCATTAAGACCTGCTGTGTGAACGTAGCCTAGAATGTTAAACAATAAATAAGATTAAATAACCCAACCATTGTCCTGTTTTTCAGCTAGAAAMAAGTGCCCCCCTCCTCCTACTTTGCGCTGCCGCTGCTATCTGCAGCTGATACACCCAAACCCCGCGTGAGGAATACAAACTTCATTCAAAGGTCCTCATGGCTCAGCAGCAGAAACAAATATTACTGTTAAGAAAGCTGATGATAAAGTTGAATATACAGTAAATCTAAGTCTGATTATGAAGTGAAGTTAAATATCTGACAGTGATCATTACAGAGTGTGGCTATAATTCCTCACTTCACCATCTGTGTCGCAGTTTCACATCTCCAAAATGAGCGTAAACATGGGTCAGAGCTGTGAGGCACCGGACATTTTCACGTCAAGCTTGAATTTTATAAATCATAACCTTTGCATGAAAAGTGGCGTACGCAAGTTTCTGGGCTCGTTTTGTGCATACACAAGCTTTATCTGTCTGACCCAAGAAGAAGAAAATTTTACGTTTAACTGTGTCTGGTAACCAGAAGAGCAGCTGTGGTCCTATTGTTTATACCAGGAACCAGCTGCTGGAGCTCCATAGAGCGATTGTCTCCCCCTATGAGCGTCCATCTGTTCCCAACAAGCTGAGGAGAAAGACACAGTAACCTGCACCTGCATCAATGCTGCTATTGGCATGAGGCCGTATWATTGTATTACCATTACTGACATACAGAGTGGTTCAGTTCTGCTGACAGATCAGCACACGGCTGGAGAAAGAACGTATAGCAGCGTCTCTGTGACGGACTCAGTTTACTGTAAAWATGTACGTCTTCTGCATCTATATGTCTTAAACAATTCTGAGACTGGTGCAAACGTGAAATGACAATAATATTAGTACAATATTGTCACATCCATATAAGCTGCAAAATATGCTGGGTAGATTTCTAACAATAATATGTGAAATGTGTTTATGTTAAAGTCTTTATTTGCTGTAATCGGACACAATGGTCAGAGGCTGTTTCTGATCAACTTTGATTGAAAATAATTAAGATACGTTTTTTTATTTTTTGCTTCTTATATGATGTATGATTAATAGCTAAGGCTGTGTGATCATTTCAATCATCTTTTTCTTTTACAATTTGTTCCAGTTTGTCTGCTCACATCTAGTTTTGACTTATGTCCAGGCTGAAGAGGGAGCGTTTAGGTCCTCATGACTGGGTTTCCATATCTGTTCCTGGAGGCCACAACTGGATGATGGTGCCTGGCTTGGAACCAGAGACAACATACCAGTTTAGTGTCCTGGCCCAGAACAAGCTTGGCACAGGCCCCTTCAGCGAAGTTGTCACTGTGAACACACTAGGTGAGTAATCTCACTTCAGCTCTACAAGGAAAAGGATTCAACAAAAACATATTTGGCAGCAAGGAATAGTTTGTGGAAACAACTATGTTAAGTTTCAGAGAGGTCACTGTAGGCTGGTATTATCACTGAATTAGAAACACACTGGACTGGCCACGGACAGTGCTAGACAGGTTGTTTGGCTGCCATCTTGTAAAGTGCCATGTCGCTGTGTAATATTTATATGTCAAAGCTACACGTTGTTAACCACTTATTCATGCTATAGATGAAAATCATTAAAGGGGACATATCATTCACAGTCCACTTTTTTAGCTTTAAATACATTTTGTTGTGTACCTGGAGTCTCTAGGAGGCAGAAAAGTTGAATTTAGTTTAACCAGGTGCTGAAAAGATATCTTTATTCTGTTTGAGTCAGATTTTTCAGCCGTTCAGTTTTCTCTATTTTCTATGGCGTTTTGTGAACTATTATTTCAAATTGTCTGTGATGGAACTGCTACATAAGGTCTGAACTTACCAATTAAACTATCCTCGTCTTCATTCTTCACTGGTTCTGGGTCAGACTCTGGCTCCAACATGTAAGGCTGGATAAACAAGTCTTCTGTTGTTCACACCTTTTAATTAAATTTTAAATAAAAAATTTTCTGCATCGCTAGAAAATGCTAACCCCCTCTCTCAAATAGCCTAAATGCCACGGCCATTGATGACGTATTTCCATTAAAATTCCAGCCCCGCTTTTCTCTTCCACTCCCTGCTTACWGCCTTTGTTTTTAGCGTTAGCTGCTAGTACTAGTCTGTGAAAAAGTCCCAAAAGTTAAAGCATCTGTGCTCTACTGGTATAAAACATGAGTTAAGTTGTGTGCCGTTGTGTCCACTAACCAGCAGGCACGATCCAGTAGTTAGTTTTTATCCTTTTTCCTTTAGATGAGGAGGAAAGGTGACAGCAGAGGATCGTAGCATTACAGGGAAAACTTAGCTATAAAACCTCACGCTTGTGTTTGTAATCAGCATTTCTAACTTGAGGATATTCAAGAGCCAGCATCAGAAATGAGAAGACGGAGGTTACAAAAGGGAAATYTACATTTATCCCCTTTTACTGCCAAGACGAGAGAGGAAAGACCACCTCCACATGACAGCTAGCAGGAAGCTAACACAGCAGCCGGTACAAAGGAAGGTGTGTGTGCGCATGCGCGGATGTGTTATACAGAGTATGAAATTACTTTAGGCCACTTTGTCATGAGTTTTATGCAAAAGTAAAAACATGTTAGAGTGTATATTACAGTGTAGACAAAACCCGATGCCCCCCCCCAGCAACGAGAGCAGCAGATCATTACGTTTTCAGTTCACCAACGTCGGAGAAAACGATCCAAACCATACAAGTASCKCATCGATTTAAAGCCCAGACTCTGCTCTTTCCAACAATATAAGTGTCACAGCTCTACATAAAAAATTCACCGAACAAGCAGCCAAGGAATAGTGAAAAGGGCTAAATTCTGGAACCATAAACACGAACGTCTTTCCTTTGTTTTTATGACTTTAATRCACWTTGGAGTGATTTTTTTCCACCTGGCTGAACCTGTACATCTCCTGTGTTAATGTTGGTACATGTAATATGCTAATTCTGTACTGTGGAGATCATTAAGAGTCGTTGAGTGAAAAAAATCTTTTGATAACACTGTGTTGCCTGTGAAGACCGGTGCGGGGCTAAGGAATGTGGAAGTGCTAGAATCGGAAGTCCATGGCATACAGGCTTTTGGAGTGGACCCATATGGAAGCCGAAGGGGGGTGGGGCTTGAAACGTCTTAAAGGAACAGTAACAAAACCAGCTACTTATGCTATGTTCACACCAAACGCGTTTTTAGCGGCCAAAAAGCGCAAAACGCCTCTCGTTGGACGCACTATTTTTAGACCAAAGAACGCACTAGTGTTCAGACCAGAACAAGCAGCASCAGCAGCGGGGTGTGGGAGGAGCTTGTCCTCGGCGGGTGAAATAAAGATAAAATAAAAGAAAATGGATTTGATTTATTTACTAAAAAGCAAGCGAGTGTTGCCCACAGCAGATAATTAACTCACCAGATGATTTAGAGGTGATTTTTTTGGTTAGTTTCGTCACTCCAGAAGCTGCCAGCTGACGGACTTTTTCCTTTTTTTTTTTTTTTTTTTTTTTTTTTTTGGTCCCGAGCAGCTGATCCACATCGGTGCTGATAAATCCTGCCAGAAAATCCAACTGCACACGGTCGATTCCAGGTAAAGATCTCCAGTCCGTCTGTTTCGGTTTTCAGTGGGAGACGCGTCGAGCGACGAAAAGTTCAGATATTTGAACTCTGGCGGCGGCTCGGGCGCCGGCAGCTTCCACACCACCGAATGCGCACAAAACGCTCTGTGCCCCTTCCGCCTTCCTTGCGCGCCACCCAAAACGTACGTGACGRGACGCACGACCCCTAGAGGCACGTCCTCATAGACTTTGCATGTGAATCAGCCGCTCCTGCCACTCAAAACGCGTTCGGTGTGAACGTACCATTAGAGAAACGCAGCAGAAAAGTGGTGAAATAGTGGCTGGTAAAGTTAGAATAAGACGGAATTCAGACCAAACCATTGTAGTTGTTGTTGATTCACTGGTTTCAAGCTGCTTGGGCTGAACATATGACGAGACACTAACATTCCCAACCGTTATGTGCTCTTACAGTATTTCCTACAAGTACCCCTGAACCACTGGTGCTGCTTACCCCACCACGGTGCCTCACAGCCAATCGCACGCAGCAGGGAGTCCTGTTGACCTGGATCCCACCTGCCAATCACACAGCACCTATCCAGCATTATGTGATGGAGTTCCGCCTGGGGGAACGATGGGAGATTTTGGACGACAGCATTCCTCCTGGGGAGTTGGAGCTGCTTGCCCGAGACCTCATCCAGGTAAAAGATATGACAAGTCTAATTAAACTGTATCAAACCAGAGCAACACCAAGCTCAAGTTCAGGTTCAAGCTCAAGCTTAGTTGTAAGGCTCATTGCAAAARAASTACTGTTGGCCATCAAACAGGAAATAAATAACAAAGATCCACATGAATTTACTGTAGGTGCCTTGACACGGATGAATGTGTCCGTCTGCCTGATCAGTGCATCCTGTTGGTCCAAAAGATRACTCAACTCCCTGTAGATAAGGGATGCCCAACCTTTTTTGAACCAAGAGCTACTTTTGAAGTCAGCAGTTTGCCGAGAGCTATTCGTCCAGTCTCAGTATCAAAAAAACGTAATTTTGTCTCCCTACTCCTCACTTCTTTAACGTAAATAAAGCAGAACATAATGTGTTGCTAGTTTTATTTATTTTAAATTTTAAAGTATTGTCTAACAAAACTATCTACTTAACCATATATTTACCTACAATAAAAAAGATAAAATCCTTACTTAACTCCTGACAGAGAAACAGAGAAGTGATGCTCGAACAAAAAGGATCAAATTTTTTTTACCTCCTTCAATTAGTACTCACTGTAACGTGCGAGCTATGAGGGCTGGAAACCTGCACACTGAGAACCAGAGTCAAATAACTTTGAAGCACGGGAACTCGTCTCCATTTATTCAAAGAACTCTCCTCTCTTCTCTCTATACAGGGGAGGAAAAACAAAACAAAAATCTATCAGGGTCAACATGGCTACCACAAGAGTACTGCCCTTTTTTTTTCAAAGTCAAAGCACACAATATAAAACTCTCTCACAGGCTGCTAGAAAACCCGGTGCTGAGCTTCCAGGACCGGTTTCACCTGATCAGATCCATCAGGTGGGTTTCTGAATTTCATGCATTTTTGCAGGAATATCGCCCACCAGGGGGTTCTGGCTGAATCCAGGCGAAAGAGTGGGTGCTGGACGTAGGACCGCGGTTCCACCTCACTGGATCTCTTCCTTTTATTCCCCTGCATCACCACAAGCAGCCCCGTGCTGGAAATCAGCCGTTTCACCCGCTGGAGCTCGCCCGACAACCTTTGATCACTTATATCTCCGTGTGGGAATGTCCCAGGAACTTGCAACCACCTCCAAGTTGTAGCAGAGATCCAGAACATTAAAATGAGCCTCTCCCACCCAGATCCAGTGCTCAGAGCCGGCGCTAGAGGCTCCGGAGTAAATTGAGTACTATATCGCCCGCCAAAGTGCCTTTTTCGGCTGGTCGTTGGTTAATAGCTCTGCGGGGGAACGTTCCAGGAACTTGCAACCACCTCCAGTTTGTAGAGGAGGACCGTAGCTTTCCAAAGTCATCTCACTCCGATGCTCAGAGCCGGTGGGAGAAGTGAACGAAGGTTGAAATTTCCTCCCAAAAATGCGTGTAAAATGCACTAAGTCGTGCGTAATTTGCTTATAGCTCCGCGGGGCAACATCACAGAGACTCCATTCAAGTATCAGCTTGTAGGGCAGAACGCTTTAAAACTCGACCATACACGCTGGGTTCTGACACTCCTAGCTGGGAGGGGGTGCCAAAACCGCCCTGGCGGGAGGTCCGATGGTGTGTATTTTGGAGMTTTTTTTGCTTATTTCTCCTGCGGGGGAATGTCGCAGGGACTTCATTCACCTTTCACCTTGTAGGGCAGAACCAGAGCTTTCAAACAAGACCAGCCACTCTGGGATGCGACGCTCAAAGCCYSCGCTAGAGGCTCCGCAGCAAGGTTGCACTTTGCGGGCACCTGGGAATCAGCTGGCGGGCGACTCGTCACCCGCGAGCAACTGGTTGGGCACCCCTGCTGTAGATTGATGGATTCAGCAGCTTCAGGACATATATTCATGTAGTAACAACATTGTGCAGAAGTGTAGAGGTTTATCTTTAGTTATACTATTTATCATATTTTATTTACATAAGAGAACATGAGGTCATCGTTACTAGTCATTTGATTTTTATTTTGGACTTTTTTCTTCTTCGTATGRTGTTTTCTATGACACAATCCAGATGTGACAAGGTATTAACAGTTAATAACTATTTGACAGAAAATCAATAAAAAAACCAAACCATTCCTTTATCATCTGCAAGATAGTCAACAAAGGTTTTAGTGTAAAAGAATGGTTTCTTTTGAACTGATCTGAGTGTGGTTTGCGTCACCATGAAACAAGATGTATTTCTTAAAGATGAAGCCTAGAGAGGACACATAAATGGAAAATAATATCCAATAATAGAACTTTGACAACTTCCACAAGTGAGAGAGGGATGAAAAAGAAAGGCTTACAGGAAAATAGCTCCTGACAGGTAAGATCTGAGCTACTCTAATGCTGTCACGCTGCAGTACTCTAGATGAGAAATCAGGATTCTGTGGGCCTTTGTGTCAAATATTATTGGCCACTTCCGGACTAAAACTGTGCCTGACATGTTGTGGAGGGTTCCTTTAGTATATTCACTTTTATGAGTTGAAGTAGTTTATTCAGTCAACAATTATTTCATGAATTTTATGCTGCCATCCATCCATTTTCTGTACACACTTCTTCCTCTTCAGGGTTGRGTGGGTCACTGGTGCCCATATCCAGCAGTCACAGTGCGAGGGGCAGGGTACACCCTGGACAGGTCYCAAGTCCATCACAGGGCCACACATAGAGACAAACGAGACAAACAACCATTCACTCTCTCACTCACACCTAGGGACAATTTAGAGTTATCAATTAACCTAACAGTCATGTTTTTGGTCTGTGGGAGGAAACCGGAGTACCCGGAGAGAACCCACGCATGCACGGAGAGAACATGCAAACTCTACCCAGAAAGGTCCCCGGACCGGGATTTGAACCGGTGACCTTCTTGCTGAGAGGCATCAGCTCTACCAACTGAGCCACCGTGCCGCCCAATTTTTTATGCTTATTTAATTTTATGCTGCGTTTCCACCAAATGAGCTTTGAGCATTAGGAGCATCAGGTTTACATGTAAAGTCTATGAGGGARGCATGTCAAGTAGCGTTGGGAAGTGCCGTAGTGCATCAAGCTTGTTATGAGTGTTGGCACGTTGAATGCTGGAGTTGGAAAATCTGAACTTTTGCAGCTCGACACTGCACATCAACCAGTCAGAGAGACTCTGCTCTGTGATGTAGTGACACATTTTCCGACGGGACAGTTTCCTCAGTGATGTCCACTAACCTGAGACAGATGGACAGGAGCTCTTAAACTGAAATCGAGTGCCTGTAGTTGATGTCCTGGCAGGAGATATCGGCACGGATGCAGGTCAGCGGCCCATCAAACTGGACTTGGGACAAAAATGGTTCAGAAAGCTAGCCTTGTCTGCTCGCAGCTCCTGGGAGGTGAAACTCACCAAACCCTTGTGATGCGTCGTGCACATGCATCCAACTTGAAGCGTTGGGAGTGTTTTTGATACTGAAATTTTGTTCGGTGTGAACCGCAGCCTTAGAGGGTTGAAGATTCAGTAAAGTAGATTTTATATGGACATATAAAGGTCTTTAAATGTTTAGAGTTCTGGGGTCAGATTTGTAAAGCTTTACGTGGAAACCATACTAAAAGTGAACATACGGCCAAAAGGCGGAAATGGCATACGCCAAAAAAAATTTCAGATTTATAAAACCGTGCGTACACATGTTTCTGCGCATCTTTCCTTTATAAATCACAGCCGCACCTCAGAGTTTGCGCACGAGGTCCRGCCTCAGGTTCTACCCTCTACACGCCCACACTCAACRATWAWCAYTRAATGCAAAGTACCTCATGAATGTTAAGATGTATTTAAATCAGTCAGCTGATCAATGCCAACAAAAGTGATTGGTTCAGACACGCTCTGTCGTGAGTCTAGAGGATGACAGGTGCTGACTGACAGCTGCTCACGTGAACAGAATGTCTGTAATTGACACAGATTTTCCCGCATTTTGCTTTAGAGTAATCTAATGATTTTTATAAAAATCTCAGCTTCAAATAAATTTTCTCTCAGAGCCTGCAGGACGATAAAAACAATAAAAATTAAATTAAATAAGTCAGATAAAATTAGAAATAAGTCCACCGCTCTTCTTCTTGTCCTCTCCCCCTCCTGCCTGCTCTGTTATCCGCGGCAGAGGACTAMTCAGTAAACATCATTTGAAATGGAGTTTCTAAAATATACAATTTTAAATAAAATAACACGCAGAAGGAATTGAGCTGCATGGGGTCCTGTTCTGGTCCAGCTGCACGAGGACCACTTGCCTGCTGCAGTGCGCCTCATAAACACACCCACAAACTCTGGACCTATCACACACTGAGAGCCGCAACGTCCCGTCGGCACAGTTCTGACTGGGGGCAATGCACAAGACGGCTGTCACCGGGGGATAGCAGTGGGAGAGCAGACGGAAGTTGTGTAATTTTTTTGTCACTCAGTAGGGGGGAAAAGACGTGCGACTTGAAGTATAAACCAGGCTTAACTGTGGACGCAAGAGGAAGCTGTCTGAAAGGGAATGTTATGGTCTAAAACCAGGTGTTTCAGTTTCATTGTCTAACTCCTTTACGTTGCATGAAGGACTGGAGCAAAGTTGCAGATATACCCCTCATTAAAATCGCCACCATGATTTTAATTAAGAGTACTCTGTGAGTTCTTGGACCCCAAGTTTTTCAAAATAGTTCAATCACCAAAATACACACAAAAAACACTAAACTAAACTAAACTCTTAAAAAAACAGCACATTAATATTCTAATTAGCTAATGATTAATCATGAACATTGATTAAATGGACTATTAAGAACGAATGAATAATGCTCATCAAAATAGAAGAAATAACAACATAAAAACATAAAAATATAAGCATTGGCTTAAACATTCTGTTTTTTATTAACTCATAAAAGTCTAAACATAATCAGAGACAACAAATATCAAATTATTATAAGCTAAATTGGAGAGCCCTTAAAAGAAAGACAAAGATAAAAGTCAAACATATTAAAGGGTCAAAAGATTGGATTAAGTCTATTAAGTCTGGGAAGAGGAGAG